AGATTGCGGGCGGATGTTCGAAGTGATGATTCGAGTAGAGGCGCAGCTAAATCTTGTTGCCAAATGTGCTAAGCAGCGGGGGGGTTGGGGGGGGCGGCAGCCCCCCCCATGATGCTCGGGGGGGGCGGCAGCCCCCCCCATGATGCTCGAAGAAGTGATGATTCAAATAGGCGCGCAATGCAAACTATGTTTCAAGGGTGAAGGAGTGATGATTCAAAGATTGCGGGCGGATGTTTGGAGAAGTGATTCGAGTCCTGCCGTTTCGGGTGGTCTTCTTTTCAGGCAAGCCCGAAAAGTGGTGACGGAAATGGAAATGGGGGGGCGGTGGTGGTGGTGGTGGTTGCGTGGGTAGTGGTTGTGGGGGGGGGGGTGGTGGTGGTGGTGATAGTTGGGTGGGGGGGGGGGGGGGGTGGTTCTAGCGGGCGAAGGAAAAGATGTGGTGGGGGGGGGGGGTGGGGGGGTGGTGGTCTGGCGAAGGAAAAGATGTGGTGGGGGGGTGGTGGTGGTTCTAGTGAAGAAAAGATGTGAGGGGGTTAGACATTGAGGTGAGTCAAAAGAATGGGGGAAGGGGGGGGGGGGGGGTGGTGGTGGTTGGAAGCAACGCAGCGAGAGCGGCGGGGGGGGGGGGGTGGTGGTGCTGACGCCTGACCTCCATGGTGATCACGCCTGAAAAACAGGAACTCTCAAATATCCCCTATATCCCGTATTTACCTTGTATGACTTACATCGTAGACCTTATGTCCCTTGTGTACCTTGTATCCCTCGATCCAATACCCAACCATCCCACTTGTAAAGTGGTGAATAACATCCCTCAAGCACAGTGCAGTCTACATAAAACTTCAGAAACCATGTGTCTGGGCTTAACGGCAGACATAGTTAAAAGCTCACCCTCCTATAACGCAAGCCCCGAATGAGGGCCTTGGCTTGCTTGCTGGTTCTCGGGAATCAACAGTCGGTGTGGGAATGAATCGGATCCGGGGATTCCCTTAAAGCGAACCACCAGCTGGATGTTTTTTCGTTTTTTATTTTTCTCTTTATTTTTTCTCATCATTCCATTTCTCAGTCCCTGAATCTCACAGCAATCGCCAGTTTCGCGGATTTCTCTTCTTTTTTTTCGTCCGACGTCGTAGGCTCTGCCCTTCCGCTCCGCGCTGCGGGTCTGCGGATGCTCCATGCTTATCTGGGCCACCCTGTGGGGCGCTTGGGTCTTCAAGGGCCCCAAGGACCGAGGGGTGGGGGGGGGGGGGTGGGGGGAGGGGTGGTTCCGAATTTTGCGGACTGTACACGTGATACAGGTGGGGATGCATGCCCCCCGATCTTTAGTTGGTATTCCAACTGTTGATACGTGAATCCCGTGTCCACGGGCCCGTATTCTCAAGGCCGAAGGATGGTTTCCACTGGCTTAGGTGCTTTAGACATCCAAGGAGTGCAGGGCCCCGCAACGCGGGTGGTGTTGAGGGGGACTCCAACTGCAAAACCAGAGTGGTTGCAGGCAAAATCTAGGAGGTCAATTCCATGGAAGGAGGTCTTAGGTCAAGGAAGTGGGACAAGACAAATATGACCTTGGTGCAACCTGCTAGGTTGAACATCCTGGGCAGGTTTTGGCTGAACATCAACGAGCCGTCACAATGCACGGAGAACAGGCCCTGGCCTGCCAAAACTGTTCAGAAGGCCGGAGATCTGATCCGAGAATCCAGCGAGTTTGGGGACAGAAGCTTCTGATGGGTAACCCTTTGGTTTAGGTGGGCATGCCATCCATTCACCCAGGACACCCATCTAGTTTTAAGCAAAAGGTCACCTTTCTTGGTGGTTCCCAGCCATCCCCGTAGCTTGTCAGTTTTTTTTTGTGTTTCCCCGGTTTTTGGGGTGAGGCAAAGAGCAAATCCCCATTCCAAGATGGTTTCCACTGCCCCCAAGCCGCGGCTAGTCCCTTTTTTTTATGAGCATGGTTGTTGTTGGGAAACAATTCTCATTTTGGCTTATTGTGGTTTCGTGGTTGAACTCCAACCACTTAACTGCTCAAATTCGATAATTTTTGCTCCCCTTCCAAGGTCAACCAAGAAAGGGGCTCCATGTTGAGGTGGATGACCATCCATTTGTCACCTATTTTGTTGATCAGGGGTTTCCTGGGTTTTGACAACCACAGCCATATAGCTACTATAACCAAGATAAGAAGCCATCCCCAGATTTGTGTTTTTGTATATATACATATATATATATATATGAGGTATACAGCCACTAGTCTAGCAACCAAGATAAGGGGCTGTATAGCCTATCTCCCTCTAGCTTCGAAACCGTCTTCGGATCCAGGAGCTCGCGAACTCCGTCCCCTGAGCGATTCGATCGCGCCGCGCTTGCCGCGAGCCCGCGGGGGGTTGGGGCACGTTGCATTCCCGGCCCCAAGCGGATCGTCCGGTTCAACTTCGCCTTTTAGGCTTTTAGCTTTTTAATTAGTTGGTTTTAGTCGGTTTTAGTCGGTTTTAGTCGGTTTCGGTTGGTTTTAGTTGGTGTTAGTTGGTTTTAGTCGGTTTCAGTTTTAGTTGGTGTTAGTTGATTTTAGTCGGTTTAGTTGCTTTGAATTAGTTGGTTTTAGTCGGTTTTAGTCGGTTTCAGTTGGTTTTAGTCGGTTTTAGTTGCTTTGGACTAGTTGGTTTTAGTCGGTTTTAGTTGGTTTCAGTTGGTTTTAGTTGGTTTTAGGTGGTTTTAGGTGGTTTTAGGTGGTTTTAGGTGGTTTTAGGTGGTTTTAGGTGGCTTAGTGGTATAGTTTTCAATTTTAACCCACTTAAACTTTTAGCAGGGGATCTGAGGGTAGCCCAGATTGGAGGCTTCACTGGAGCTCTCAGCGTTCTCTTTTACGACGAGTCCCTAATGGGGAAGCTGCCTATGATGATTCCGTTTTCGGGAGTCCTTATTTGGAGTTCCTTCTAACTCGATAATTTTAGGTTTTCCCTGGTCCTTATTTTGGGTATAGCATTCTTTGATCGTCTCTAGGACTGCGTGCAGATTTCTCGCCTGTGTTTGTTGACTATCCAGAAAACGCCATGGCCGGGGAGTTGCAGATCTTATCACAGGTTTCTAGTTTCCATCTGCTCTTGCAGTTGTTCCTATCCCACTTTAAACGGATGTTTTTCCTATTCGTGAGGCAGAGCTTGATCTTGTGCGGAAGTTTGCTCGTGGCCGGCCCCCGCTTCGGGCTTCCTTTGTGACTTTTGGACTTTTCTTGCTGGTGCGATAGGCAGGGGATGAGTTTGTGGTTTCCTTCAAGGGAATCCCCTTCCGTTTCATTCCCACAACCCCGGGTCATTCCCTGAGCACCAGCAAGTGTTGAATTTCAATTTCCAGCGCTTGAATTCCGCGTTCAAGACTCGCGTGTCGTCTTGCGCTGGTTTTGCCAAAAGAAGGGCGATGGGCGGACGGAACGGCAGCTTGTTCCGCTTGTTCGGTGATACCCTTGGCTCCCCCCGACCCCGTTTTGTTGGGTCCACCGAACATTTGGGTTGTTTTGATGTGGTTTTCCAGCTGCACTGTCAACTTTGGATTTATCCGAAGGGCCGTGCCAATCAACCCTCAATGGCACCGCCAAAAGCAAAGCGGGAGAACTTAGGATCTTATTAGCCCTGGATACAGTTCCACCTTTCCCCAAGTGATCCAGAAGCCGTTTTGTTTTCGCGCTTTGACGACCATGTTGAGTGAAGGTCCCAGAAGGTGATGTGTTGTTTTGCTTGCCAGTCAGACAAAGAATGCGCCTCCAGATTGGTGGTTTGGAGGCGGAGTCTCGTCTCCCAATTCCAACTCTCAAAACCACCCCAATCCACCAACTAAAATGGACATGAACATCTAGGTCCCCCAGCTAGGTGCCCTTTTACCTTTTTTTGGGGGGGAGGGTTCCCCTTCTAAAATAGACAACAGGAAAAAGGGTACCCATATTCTAACCTCTCTACTGGAGGAATCTAGTAGTCGTTGCACCTTTTCGAAATGAGTTGCGTAAGCCCTGAACGAATGTATCAGAATGGCTTGCACTCTGGATTGTTCCCTGGACCACGGAACCCAGGCGTGTCTCCAAGGATCAGGCCCTTGAGCTGGTGGCCCGGAAGCTCCACGATTTCAAGCCCTGGTGCTTTTGTTTCGAAGTCGGACCTCCGAAGCCCAGAGCCAAGCCGCCAAAGGGCTTGCTGAAAGCAGACTGCCACCTCCGCTTTTTAAGCCATCCGGATCCTAAGGCCGTAGGTTTCTGGTTGGTTTCGTTCACTAAGGCCGTAGGTTTCTGGTTGGTTTCGTTCACCCACGAAAAGTTAAGCTCACTGTTTTGCAGGGGATGAGAAAACGGACAGCCCAGTTTGGTGTTGCATGTTTATTGCCGGGGAATCTTTTTTGTGGGTCCGAACTTTTGGACGTGCATGCAGTTTTCGAGGCTAAAGCGACGAGCGTTCTTCCACCAACTTTCAGCTTCCTTCCCATTGGCTTTTGGGGTTGCTGGCGCCCAAGCCGAACAGGTGCTTTGGCTTATTCCGGACATGGGCCTCTTTTTTCGTCCCCTCAAGAACCAGGGTTCAACTCCAAATCCAATCCCCCACAAACCTCCAAACCTCCAAAGAACAACCTACTTCAACAGGACATATCCCTTCAACACAAAGAAAAAAGGGTACCAAACATGAAGGGGATATGCTTCTTACACCCAAAAAAGAAGGATACCTTCAGCACCAAAAATGGGTGCCAACTCCCCCGGCCGCCCCTTCAGGAACCCAAGGGCCGTGGGAGATGGGGCTCGGGTCATTCCTGAAGGTACCCCAGCTGGACATACCAACCCAAATCCCAGGATATATATATATATATACACATACGTATAGAACACGCACATCATATATACACATATGGCATCCCGGCCCTGGTGCCCCCACTTTGCCTTCTATGATTTGTTCTAGATCTTAGACAAAAAGGGGCACTCCCGCGAGGGTGGGGGGAGGGGGGCGGAAAGGGCTTCCGCACCGTGTGCCTCGCAGGCTCTTCCTCTTGCTGCTGCAGTCAGCGACTGAGGTAGGTACTATGTTCTTGTCTTGTTTTTTCGGATGTTGTTTTTAAGTTGTAAGTTTGTTGTTTTGATTGTTTCCTTATTGATTTGTGTTGCTTGCTTGTTGTGTTGGTTTGTTTGCTTGGGTGTGTTGTGTTGCTTTGCTTTGTTGTGTTTTGCTCTCTTGGTTGGTTCAGTTTGGTTTGGGTTTGGTTTGGTTGGGGTTTGGCTTGTCTTTTGTGTTGTTTTGGTTTTGCTTTGCGTCGTTGTGTCTTGCTTTGTTAGCCACAGGTTGCCTTGGTTTGTTTTGCTTTGTTTTGTCTTGTTTCATTTCTTGTTTTGCTCGCTCGCTCACTCGTTCAATTGTTGTGTTTGCCTGCTTGCTGGTGTGGTTGTTTGTTTATTGTTTGTTTGTTTGACTGATTTTGATTGATTTGAGTTGAGTTGTCTTATTTGTTTTTTGATTTTGTTTTGTGTTGTGCTGTGCTTGCTTTGTTTCTTTTCTTTTTCTGTTTTGCTTTGTTTTGCTCTGCTATGTTTGGTTTAGTTGTTCTTGTTTGTTTATTCACCCGCTCGCTGCTTTGTTATTTTGCTTGTTTGTTAGTTTGTTTGTTTCTTCGTTTGTTGGTTTGTTATTTTGCTCGTTTGTTAGTTTATTTGTTTCCTCGTTTGTTGGTTGGTTAGTTTCTTTTGTTTTGTTCTGCTTTGTTGGCCTCTTCTTTTTTTTGTGTGTTGCGTGACTGCGCTTTTCCTGAGTTGTTTTCTCGGTTCACATGGTGAAGGCGGAGGGGTTTCGAAATCGCAGCTGAGACCCTGCGATGAGGGCAGAATTCGGCAGCTGTCTTTCTGTTGTGAATCCTGCTGTGGTTCCGCAGGTGTCCAGAACATTTCATGCCTTTTTTGGTGCGTGTGTGTGTGTGTGTGTGTGTGTGTGGAACCTGCCTCTTGCAGGCAGGTTGGTTGCTGGTGGGCCCTATGCAGAACCCCCTCTAATGACCTTTTGGAGCGACCCTGGAAACTGGTTCAGGAATGTTTCAGCCCTGAGAGCAGGAGGTGGATCAAACTGAATACCTCAACCTATGTTTAAAGCAGGTGTTAGAACAGGCGCTTTTATTTGCTGGTCTTGGAACTGGCGTTCAACCTATGGCTTCACAAGTTGATAAACACCAATAGGTTTCCTTTTGATCGGCTGGTTTGGGTAGAAATAGATGGGGTCGACTGGTTTAGATTGATTTGATGGCCCATTTGCCCGGGACATCTGTCTATTTGTCTCCAAAAAGGTCATCGATTTGTCAACAACTTGGTGCGTCTTAAGATAGCAATCGGACCCCTGAAATTGCTTGGTTCCTTTTGGTTCGCCTTTAAAGCCAACCAGAGCTTTGGCGCATTTTGCTTGGACGTTAGGACTTTCACTTTTTGCCAACTAATGGGTTTTCCATGAGGGGAGCAGATTTCGCAACCGAGAGAAGGGGAGCCACCCAGCTGTCAGAAACCGAGGCGTTGGCAATTCTACCGGGTTCTACTTATTGACTACCCCAAGGCAGACTGAAACGCATTTTGCTTTTAGGGCCTTTAGGGAAATCAACCACCCCTGGGTTAAAGCAGTTTTTTAGGGGTCGTCCAAAACTACCGAACCCTGCGCGTCCCGTTGCGCCTCGGCCGCCACTCCGCACGAGGTCCCGGGAGGAGGGGCGGAGCCTCTTGGCGGAGGCGGGGTGCACCTCTTGGAAGCTGAGGCATCAGTCGGATGGCGAGGAATTCAACTTTGCTCGGACTTTTTGCCAACTAATGGGTGTTCCATTAAACCACTAAAAGTTAGTCACTTTTAGCAGGGGAGCAGAAAGCAACCGAGTTTGCTTGCTGGTTCTCAGGGAATGAGTTGGAATGAAAGTGTTCCAACTAAGAGCGGATTTATTGAAGACTCAGAGCGGAAAAGAGGGATACTAAGAGCGGAAAACATGATACTAAGTTGGAATGACGAAACGCCATCCCTTGCTGGCGGTTTCCTTCGAGAGGACTGGGTTCATTCGACCACATTCCCTACCTATCGCACCGATCGCAAGTTTTGGTTTCCTAAGATGACGGGTTCAATTGATCCAGTTCAGACAGGTCCCACAAGTCCCAATTTTTCTTAGGCAACTTGGCAGTTCAACCGGCGAATCGTCCGGTTCGCCAGAGGTTTTGAGTGGTTCTGAGATTTTTAATTGGTTTAGGGGCTGGGTTTCTGATCTTAACCCACTTTTAGCAGGGCACCCGAGGCCCTGATCTTTCTTTGGCTGTATAAAGCATAAATCTGGGTTCAACATTACAAATGAATCCATGACAAATAAGTCTTTTTTGGAGGGCAACAGCAAAACTTATTTTCTTTGGTTCACAAATCTGGGGTCACCGAGCTCATTTTGCTTGTTCTGCGGGTTCGCCTCTCGTTTTTGCCAGGGCCTACCTCTGGATGAGGAGCTGTCGTTGCTGGACGGCCAGACGTGGCGCCGGCCATTTTTTTGTTTTTTCCGCACGTGACGTTGGTCGGCTCGCTGGATCTCACCAAATAAACACTCGCCATGCGCGTTCTTTCGGGGTAAGCCTTTGATGCCATTGTCATTACCTGTTTGTTTGTGGTTGTAAAGGGACACCAACTGCAAAACACGCGTGTTGGGGTCCCGTCGAAAAGAAAACTTTTAATTTGCGCTGCAAGTTGGGGAACTGCAAGAGCTGCAACCGGCAGAGGCGCCGCCCAGTGAATGGATCGGGTGAGTGTTTCCAGTGGGTTCCCACCAGCACCTTCACCCCCCCAAAAAAAGCACCGGCGTTTGGTCGTTGGGATTTTGGACATGGTGGAGACTGGGGTATAGATACATTTTCCATTTTACAAGTGACTCAAGGTGAAGCAAACAACAAAATATATTCTATAACTGGGCCTAACTCTAACCATGGAGAAAGCAGGCAAGTTGGGGGGTGTTCCCATTGGTTTTCTCATTTGTAGGCGAGGTCTTGAACGGCGATCGCTTTTGCTTCGATTTTGAGGTACCGGGACGTTTCGTGGGGGTTCTTCTTGGCTTGTGAGAAGGAGCGCCTATACCGCAAAGTTCCTTTACTGAACGGCCACAGGTGTCCCTCTTAGGTTAGTTTGGCTAGAAATAGTGTGTGTTTTTTAGGAAAGCCCGTCTATTTTCCCAAAAGGATGATTGGCTTGGTATTGAAGTATTTAGATTTGAAGCCGGATGTATCAGCTGATTTGAAGCCTGATGTTGCATGCATGCAACACATTTACCAACGGACAAGTATCGCTTTCTTTTTTTTCAGACGTATCTTGTGGGAACCCTGGTTTGGTTGAATGCGACACACTGTCCAAGGGGTCGCTAGCTTTTTGTTGAACCGGTCCTTGCCTTTTGTTGGCTGCATACAAATCTGAACAAAGGGGTGCAGATGTTTCAGAATCTCTTGGGCCACTTGTTTTCGACCACACTTGTCAAACAATGGGTTGCCATTCTGGAACAAAAGGGTCGTTTCGTCTTCTATTTGCTTAAGAATATGTCTTTTTTCCCCTTGTTGGTTTTAAAGGGAATCTATCACTACTGGAAATTAATTATTTTAACGCCTCCGGCTCAGGCCGCCGACATTACAGGCCTGCTTTCTTATTTGCCCTTTGGAATTGTCCCCTTGCCCCCTTCCCCTCTGAGATTTTTGCCCCCCTTTCTTTGTTGAGATCCATTCCCCCTTTCCGCCCTGAGGCCTTTTCTCCGTCTGATTTTTTTCCTTTTCCTCCCTAAGATGTTTTCTCCCCTCTCCCTGTTGAGATCCTTTCCCCCCTTTCCCCCCTAAGGCCTTTTCCCCCCTGAGATCTTCTCCCTTTTCCTCCCTTTCCCCCACTTTTCCCCCTACGGCCTTTTCCTCCCTGGGATCTTTTTCCTTTCCTCCCTGAGATCTTTCCCCCCCTTTCCCTGTTGAGATCCTTTCCCCCCTTTCCCCCCTACGGCCTTTCCCCCCGCTGAGATCTTCTCCCTATTCCTCCTTAAGATCCTTTGCCCCCTTTCCCTGTTGAGATCCTTTCCCCCCTTCCCTTTAAGGCCTTTCCAGATCTTCTCCCTTTTCCTTCCTAAGATTGTTTCCCCCCTTTCCCTGTTGAGATCCTTCCCACCCTTTCCCCCCTCAGGCCTTTCCCCCCCTGAGAGCTTCTCCCTTTTCCTTCCTTAGATCTTTCCCCCCTTTCCCTGTTGGCCTTTTTTCCCCCAGATCTTCTCCCTTTCCTCCCTAAGATCTTTTCCACCCCTTTCCCTGTTGAGATCATTTCTCCCCTTTCCCCCCTACGGCCTTTGCCCCCAGATCTTCTCCCTTTCCTCCCTAAGATCTTTTCCACCCCTTTCCCTGTTGAGATCATTTCTCCCCTTTCCCCCCTACGGCCTTTGCCCCCAGATCTTCTCCCTTTCCTCCCTAAGATCTTTCCCCCCCTTTCCCTGCTCAGATCCTTTCCCCCCTTTCCCCCCTGAGGCCTTTCCCCCCCTGAGATCTTCTCCCTTTTCCTCCCTAAGATCTTTTGCCACCTTTCCCTGTTGAGATCCATTCCCCCTTTCCCCCCTAAGGCCCTTTCTCCCTCTGAGTTTTTGCCTTTTCCTCCCTACGATGTTTTCCCCCCTCTCCCTGTTGAGATCCTTTCCCGCCCTTTCCCCCCTAAGGCGTTTTCCCCCCAAGATCTTCTCCCTTTTCCTCCCTAAGATCCTTTGCCCCCTTTCCCTGTTGAGGTCCTTTCCCCTCTTTCCCCCCTAAGGCCTTTCCCCCCCTGAGATCTTTTCCCTTGTCCTCCCCAAGATCTTTTCCCTTTGTTGAGATCCTTTCCCCCTTTCCCCCCAAGATCTTCTCCCTTTTCCTCCCTAGGATCCTCTCCCACCTTTCCCTGTTGAGCTCCTTTCCCCCTTTTCCCCCTAAGGCCTTTTCAGATCTTCTCCCTTTTCCTCCCAAAGATCCTTTGCCCCCTTTCCCTGTTGAGATCCTTTCCCCCTTTCCCCCCTAAGGCCTTTTCCCTGCCTGGGATCTTCTCCCTTTCCTCACTGAGATCTTTCCCCCCCTTTCCCTGTTGAGATCCTTTCCCCCCTTTCCCCCCTACGGCCTTTCCCCCCGCTGAGATCTTCTTCCTATTCCTCCTTAAGATCCTTTGCCCCCTTTCCCTGTTGAGATCCTTTCCCCCCTTCCCTTTAAGGCCTTTCCAGATCTTCTCCCTTTTCCTTCCTAAGATTGTTTCCCCCCTTTCCCTGTTGAGATCCTTCCCACCCTTTCCCCCCTCAGGCCTTTCCCCCCCCTGAGAGCTTCTCCCTTTTCCTTCCTTAGATCTTTCCCCCCTTTCCCTGTTGGCCTTTTTTCCCCCAGATCTTCTCCCTTTCCTCCCTAAGATCTTTTCCACCCCTTTCCCTGTTGAGATCATTTCTCCCCTTTCCCCCCTAAGGCCTTTGTCCCCAGATCTTCTCCCTTTCCTCCCTAAGATCTTTCCCCCCCCCCTTTCCCTGCTCAGATCCTTTCCCCCCTTTCCCCCCTAAGGCCTTTCCCCCCCCTGAGAGCTTCTCCCTTTTCCTTCCTAAATCTGTTCCCCCCTTTCCCTGTTGGGCTTTCCCCCCTAAGTCCTTTTCTCCCAGATCTTCTCCCTTTCCTCCCTAAGATCTTCCCCCCCCTTTCCTCCCTAAGATCTCTCCCACCCTTTCCCTGTTGAGATCCTTTCCCCCCTTTCCCTCCCAAGGCCTTTTCCCCCCTGAGAGCTTCTCCCTTTTCCTTCCTAAGATCTTTTCCCCCCTTTCCCTGTTGGCCTTTTTTCCCCAGATCTTCTCCCTTTCCTCCCTAAGATCTTTTCCATCCCTTTTCCTGTTGAGATCATTTCTCCCCTTTCCCCCCTAAGGCCTTTTTGCCCCAGATCTTCTGCCTTTCCTCCCTAAGATCTTTCCCCCCCCCCCAGTTCCTTGTTGAGATCATTTATTTCCCCCCTTTTCCTTCTAAGGCCTTTTCCCACCCTCAGTTCTTCTCCCTTTTCCTCCCAAAGATCTTTCCCCCCCTTTCCTCCCTAAGTCCTTTTCCCTGAGTTCGTCTCCCTTTGCCTCCCTAAGATCTTTTCCCCCCTTTCCCGCTTAAGATCCTTTCCCCCGTTTCCCCCCTAAGGCCTTTTCCCCCCAAGATCTCCACCCTTCTCTTCCCAAAGTCTTTTTCCCCCTTTCCCGTTTGAGATCCTGTCCCCCCATTGCCCCTTAGGGCCTGTTCCCCCCGAGAAAGATTTCCCTTTTCCTCCCAAAGATCTTTTCCCCCCTTTCCCCCCTTAAGGCATTTTTTCCCCAGATCTTCTCCCTGTCCTCCCTGAGATCTTTCCCCCCCTTTCGCTGTTGAGATCCTTTCCCCCTTTCCCCCCTTCATTTCCTTCACCAGCATGGGCAACATCCCCAGCATCACTTGCATCATCAGCGCCTGCCAAGGATGATGCAGGTGATGCTGGCGATGTGCCGCTGGAGCTGCTAAGGATGCGAAAGCGCACCCGGGGGGAATCGAACACCGCACTGTTTTTGACAAACTGAGTTGCGCAAGCCCAGCATTTTTTGTGTCCAACACGCCGTCTGTCGTCGGCGGATTTTTTCCGGGGGGGCTTAAGCAAATGGAAGTCGTCTGTTCTCGTTGCCGTTCCTCTCAGCCCGCCGGTCGCCAATCAGCGCCGATCCTGGTTCCTTTCGCGGAAGCGGCTCGGATCACTCAAGAGGACATCTCAAATGACTTCATTTTGCGGAAGACTACCCCCTACTCCAAATACGCACTTATTGTAGGTTGTTTTTTTTGAAAATCCTGGGTTTCCATGGTAAATACCTCCTTTTTTTTCGTAGAGGGGCAACATACCCTAAAAAAAGAGGGTATTTGGAGTAGGGGGTAGGCTTCCTCTCGCATTTCACACTTGCAAATATGGCTGCCAGAATTTGAAACGCTATATTACGTCATTTTGCAGCGGGTTCGACCTCCTTTCACATTTCACGCTTCAAGGTTCCCGAAATATGGCTGCCAGAATCTGAAACGTCACTTTGCAGAAGAGCCACTCTCTTTTGACATCTTTTTTTCCTCTGCAGGCTTTGTGACCTGGCATCTTCTTTTTCTTTCTCGGGCATAGCTTCTGTTTGGGCAGACACATCGACCAGATTCTTACAACATAGTCAAAAGGGCAGATTTTGCTCATGGAGTTCAATTGCATTGACATGTGTTGATACAATTTAAGATTCCTTCTATATGGCTGCCAACATGCAAAACAACTGCCAGTTTTCACAAAAAGCTATTTTTGTGAACTGTCTCGCCAGAAAGAAACCACATGCCATGTTCCCCCCTCTCGTAGCAGCAGTCAAGTCGCAAGACTTCTCTGAGGGTGTTGTGGAACATTGCGCCAAAGACAAACATCCTTGAGAGGTAGCTCACAAAAAAGAAAAGGGGCACGTCCCCCACCCATCCACCCCACCCCCCCTTCCCCCCACCCATG